TGACGCCAGTGATTTGGTTAGTGTACAAAAAAAAAAAATGTATCGTTTTAAAGTAAATGCAAACAATTAGCGAAGTATTGTTGTTAGTTGTTAGTTCGTGACAAAGGGTAGCATTCAATGCGTTAAATGCCTCATCACGTTCGGCGGTAATTTATACAAACAATGCAAAATTTTAGATTTGTTTTAGAGTAATATCGTTTTAGATGAAGTTTTGATATTTAATAATGAAGTAAATTTTGATAGGTTGCTGTGAATATCCTGCGAATGAAGAACATTTATGTATCCAGCTGTGGGAAGTTATAGTGTCATAATGATATTAATAGAGATAGCATTATATGTATGCGTATTATATGTATATGAGTGCGTAGTACATTTTGTTTTAAAATTTTGCATGCTTGATGGTAAGATATACATTATTACAAAAATCGTAAATATTAGGATAATGACAGGGTAGCTCACAGTCTATTTTCGAGATGTTTTCGCTGTTAGTCTATGCGACTCTTACAGCTTCATCTGACTCAGGGCTAATTAAAAAATGGAAAGGCAATGAACATGAGGATCATGATGATGATGGTTTATGGTTTAGTATTGTTACCAATCATCGTGTTAGGCGTTATTGAGCTATCTAACCGCTGTCCGAGGGGGGAGTACGGACCCCCGCCTCTGATTGCACACTGCTCACTGTATGTATCTGTATAGTAGTACTCTGTGTGTATCTGTATAGTGGGGCATGGGTTTTGTAACCTAGCCGCAGTCAAATCTTAACATTTCTTTAAATTTTATATGGAATATTCTTATCATTTTTTAAAATTTTATATGGAAATTTTATATTCATACTTGCTGGCATAACTTAAAATATTTCACCAGATACTTTCAATTCGATTTGAATTTAAAATTTATTGATAAATTTCCTACTATCAGTCGGTAGTGGTGAGATGAGGTTGTGGCGAGACAACAGACGTGGTTGGTACTTTGAAATAATGTGTCTCCCTTATGGGCATTATTTAACTATCTTTGATATTCCGCAGTGTATTGATACATATTTATCGACGTGTAATAGTAATCTACAGGATATGGGTGTTCCCCATTATAAGGAGAATTTACTTTTACCGTCACGCCACTTTTAACGCTGCTGACAATCTTTGGCTTGGGTGTTTTTTTCATGCAGTAGTCGAGATCTACGAGTATATACCGTCATCTATCAATAGTAATGAGATCTTTCTTGCTCTTCTTATATTCGCCACTTACGATACTCACGAGATGAAATGACTTATAGATTCTTTTACGCTACCACTACATGGTAAATTACTGCTGACTATTGCTCGTACAATGTTAATTTATTATTTTTTATTAATTGTGTGGATGATTATTATTTTTTTTTAAATTTTCATTTTAAATTAAGGTCTCCAAAGTTTTTGTCAGAGATCCAGCTGTCGGAAGGAGCCTCCTATCTAACTTGAATACCGACTGTCACAGCATCGTCTCCGGGACAATACTTACCATTAGCAAGTTTGTGTAACGGTCCAAGAGCAACTTTAATACGACATTATTCCTATGGCCGTCAGCCAGAGCGGGATTAGAATGTTCCTGCAGCATTTTTTCCGTTAATTGAAGTGACAAACGACTTTGACATATTCACGACTAAGAGCAATTGGATTTGTATGCGCAGTGGAGATAAGCTCTCCGGTTATGCTGCTCTACATCTTCAGTTAGCGTGATCTGAGTCAGACAAATTAAAATGGATATACCGCCGCTAGTCACTCGCTAGATTTGTTCGTAAATAAGCACTTAGTGCAACGTGTAAGTGGGATTTATATTTGGAGACAAAATTGTTATACTCGCCTTACTATACTCATTGCTCACCTAAAACTGATAATGCAGGGCATATTTGAGAGGATTTGCTATAAATAATCGCAGTGCTAGATCACTTGCATGTCAGAATATACTTACCTATTTTCAACTTGCATATTTTAGATTTGGCAGTGTTTGAGTTTGTTTGCTTTTTTCTGTCAAATGCGACAAGATATTGAAATTTTAGGATTCAAGGATTTCTTATATTGTTCCTATGTTTGTAGGATTTGTTCTATCGTACCATAATGACTGGCGTTGTTAAATATTGTTTGTTGTTTATTGTATTGTAAATATTGTATATTGTTATTGTTTTTTTCTTCTTTGTTACGTCGGTTGCCATGACCGGAGGAGAATCATACTCTCACAGAATCATCATCATTCATCATTATAGGCCTTCACAAGTCCATTGCTGAGCAACATCTCCCGTCAAGAAACGCCACAAATCACGGTCCTGAGCCACCCGCATCCATCGACTTCCCGCATGTCTTACCAGTTCGTCACTCCATCTAGTTGGGGGACGCCCTACACTTCACCTGCCAGTACTAGGCTGCCACTCATGAACCTTTCTCCTCCATCGGTATTTTATACAGAATATCAGTATAAAATGGCAGCTCAATGTTGCTGTGTGTCGTATGGTGAGTGTAAAGAATCCGAGAACCTTTTAACTTCTAACGAGGTATTCTATATTAGGCGCTGTCCTATTGCCATGGCTCGCGCGATGATGCGATGCGATTTCATCGTGCGATGAATCCGTACGCGCGATTTCTTTGGTCGCATCGCATGATCGCACGACATTCCGCAGATATGAGTATGTTTAAACGCACGGTAGCACGATGATTTTCGTCGGACGCATTGCATCATTTCACGCACGCATGTCCTATTGTCATCGCAATAAAAATGACAGCGCCTATGTCCTCAGGGGTGACAACGCAACTATATTTTGATTCCATTCCTGATGTAGGTCTATGAGTTATAGGATCCACTTACAGATGGAGTGTGTGCTCGTGTATCACTCTCATTCTATAAAAATGTAATAAATTCTTTTATGTCACTAGGTGGCGGCGGACGTTAGATAACAAATCTCCTGATACTAGATCTAAGATACTATAAATATTCAACCTTTATTTATTAAAAATTGGCTATCGATTATAATTTCTAAAGCATAATTTTTTTTGGGGGCAAATGAGATGATGGTAAGTGACTACCACTGCCCATGAACAACTGCAACACCAGGGGAGTTGCCGATGCGTTGTCGGACTTTTGAAAAAGAGTAGCTTCTTTTCTTGAAGTTCTATTTGTCGTATCGGTCCGGAAAAATCACTGGTGATAGACGATTCAACAAGGAAGTTGTGCGAGGAAGAAAACTTCTTGTAAATCGCATGGTAGTGGACCGCCGAATAAACAAATGGTATGTATGGTATCTCGAGTTCTGTCGCGATGTGCGTTGGTGAAATTGAGCGGCTGGAATTAGTCCGAACAATTACTCTCAGCACTCCACGTGGTAAATACGATAGAATACGCAAAGAAATGCAACATCTCTTCCCACCGCCAGTGAGTCAAGTCGATCAGAAAGTGGTCGGAGGATCAGTCGCCGACGATTCGAACTGCTCTACGCTGGATGCAATCAAATGGAAAGAGCTGGCATTGGGGAGCTCCAGCCCAGGGATTGGAACAGTATTTGCCTACGCATTGTAAAGTTGCAGGCGGTGTGGTATGAAATACTGTCAGGTTCTGCTGAGCATGCCAAGCTTTTTAGACGCCAATTTGACCTTTTCTTCCAAGTGACCACGAAACTGCATGTAATACGATATGTCGACGCCCTTGAATTGAGGAAATACGAAAAAGGTTCTTTTTAGCGGTAAGAGCGGCAACTTGTGTCTTCTAGGGATTGAATTGGACCAGATTTAGTCGCCGACAATCCGAGACTTTGTTCAACAAAGTCTCAACAGACTCAAGTTTGTTTTGGTACTCGGCGACGTTCTCCCTGGAAATATTGGCACGGCCGGTGTATAAAGCATCATGCTGTCGTTCGTATAGCAATTAACATTACTGGTTTACACAATATATCGTTGACATGCAGAAGAAATAGAGTGGCCGATAGTATGCAGCCTTGTGGAACGTCAGCATCAATAGGCTTGTAATCAGAACAGGCACCATCTACTACGACCTTAATGCTCCAATCAGCAAGGAAACTGGTGATCCAATGGCACAATTTCTCGGAAAGCCCATAGTGCAAAACCCGATCGAAGGCCTTTGCTTTGTTCAAACTAACCACCAAAGGCTACCCTTTGGACTCGACCGTCTCGACCGACTCTATTCATGCTTGGTTATCGTGCTTCATTATTTCTATTGTATCGTACCATATAGCTCGAAGAACCGACAACCGATAGGAAAGACAGGTTCTTGAGTGGCAGCCCTGTACTGGTAGATGACGTAGCGGTAGACCTACTAAATGGAGTGACGACCTGGTATGATACGCACGAAGTCATAGGAAGTACGTGGCTCAGGACCGTACTTTGTTTAGGAGAGGCGTGTGTTCAGCAGTGGACTTCTGAAGGGCTGTAATAATGACGACGAATTTCAGTGACTTACATCTCCGGTTTTTATCATCGGGGGTTTTGACGTATATATTTACAAGTTAAAGCTCAGCAACATAGTCGTTATAGCTTAACTGTTACTATGCCAAACTCTTAGATTTTACTAGGGCTACTAATCCATAAAGTAAGTGTTGCCAGAGTGGACATCGTCTTCCTTCTTCATTTTATTTTTCAGCTTGGTCACAGGTTTCCATATATGGAAGGAAGGTTTAACCCAACCGTAATTGCCACGTTTAGCATGTGGTTCATGATCACAATATCAGATGTCTCACAGTATTGACGTTTTCCGATGCATAACTGCATATTTTATGGTAAGCGAAATGGTTTATTGTAGACCAAGAGGTTTTTTAGCATTGCTTTTCGTACAGACGGCTATTCCTATTACTATTCTTCATGGAACGATTATACTACGTGGCCATCACACAGCAAACGTATATCTACACAATAGTAGGGGAATATACTATTATTTATTGCCTTTGTCTAATTAAAAGCATGATAATTCAATGAAATAAAAATTGATAAAACCATTTATTGCATTTGTATGTTTTCAATTCAAACGTTTAGGTAAATTGGATTATTTTTAAAGCTGTTTTTCCAAATTTCAAAGAGGCATATAGTTGAGTGAAATCTGTAGAAGATAGCCAACGGCATTGATACGTGCGTTATGATTGTCCATGCCCAAGGACCGTAGAAAGCCAAATGAGCAGGTCGGAATTCTGCGCGATTCTGTAAAAATTGAAATATATCATACGTAAGTCATTTTGCAGTTTATGTAATTTAAAAAAATTGATTTGGGATTAAATAAAGGAGAATATATACCTTAAAGGCATTAATTAATTCGCAACTATCAGCATAAAAATACCATGATGTGTCTTACCTGGATTGAAGAGACTGACCGGATCAGCCGCCGTAGAGTCTACATCACCTGAAGATGCCTCGTGTAGAGGCGAAACACGTGTCGTATTGTCGTCGATCGACTCGACTCTCCTGGAATAGTGGTATTGGGAGTAATGTTTCCGGGAGTATTGGTGTTGGGAGTAGTGATGCTTTGATTAGTGTTGACGGGATTAGTGCACGCAGGGAGGGCGGGAGATGCTCTTCAATCCAGGTAAGACACATAATAGTATTTTTATGCGGATAGTTGCGAATGAAATAATGTCTTTATTGTGATGGATTTCCGCAAAGTAACGCCTGATTCTATCAATTTATACTTTATCAGCCCGTAAGAGTTCACTGTTGGATTTACACTTCGAACTCTCTCATTGTGGACAGCATTTGGCCGTAAACTCCACGCTTAGCAGACAGTATGAAAATGGAAGCACCCGATAACTCGTACGATAACCCAAGACATTAAGCTTCGTCACATGACCAGCTGTGAAAACCCATTGTAAGTTCTATATATATCCAACACTCAACAATTGCTATATGTATTGATTATAAATCTTTTTAAATAATGTGAGGTATACGGGACGAGGTGTGTCACAATTTCCTGAAAGCTGCGGTCGAAGTTTTAGTTTCTAGTTTCATATTATACTCCTCAACACCTTTAACCTTTAACGCAGTGTTCCTAACAATTACGGCACATAAAAACTTGTTTGAAACATTTAAGTTTATCATTTTGTATTATTGTTTTAGAGTATATAGGTGTTTTTTAAAAAACAAATTGACTAGCAAGTTAACAGTACCATCTGATGGTAAGTGCCTACTGATGCTCGCGAGCAACTACAAACAACTATAAACAAACGACAAAACATCTCGGAGAAATAAGATTGCATGCTTTTCAGTCTGTAACTATACTAGTTCTCTATACCTTTTAAGAAAGAAAGGAAGAAAAAAGAAAGAAAGCAGAAATAGGCAAGAGGTTGGAACCAACACAGATGGACTCCTAGTCATAAAAGGAACCTTATTTAAGATTGACTACACAAAAGGAAGAAAGAGCCGTGGTAGCTCAGATGGTTAACGCTCGCTGTAAATATTACAGAATGCGAGTAACCCGGGTTCTATCCCCGCCGGCACCAATGAAATTGTTAATTGCAATTTTAAGTGCTGATCTACCACGTGCTCGGCGGTGAAGGAAAACAGCGTGAGGAAACCTGCATGTCTGAGGAATAAGAAGAAAAAATATTTCGAATACATGTGAAGTTCGTCAACACGCATTGGGGCTGCGCGGCAGACACTTTTTTGCCCTAAAACCCTCTCAGAAATGAGGGGAGGCCTGTGCCCAGCAATGGGCCGTATATAGGCTGTAACTTTATTTTAATTTACACAAAGGGAGCGCTAGATACCTGCTATCCCTGAGGATTAAGATCTAATGTCGTACTGCCTGTTATTACTATCGTCTACACAACACTGGCGGCACTCTTGATATCTATCAAAGGATGTTATTCAAGCACGATTATAAAAGATACAACACTAGGCTTGTACTCGTAAATATGGATATATTTTAACAATAATTTCCAGTTGCTGGCGTTTTAATTTTAAGTAAATTAACTGCTTGAGGGATAAGCAATACGTTACCTTTTCAAGAGTGTTTATCGCCCACATGGCCATGTTAGCGACAAGTAGGAATGTTACCAGCTGACGACCTGGTTTTACTCTACGTTGTTTTGATGTGGAACAGCGTCGCCACCACGCGTCGATTATGAACAATGATTGCAATATCGTCTGAAAAATAAAGGCAAACAGTTAATAAGTCCATCATTTTTTAAATATGAAAATAAAAGATAGAATTCGTTTCTCATTTGTCCGATAAGTAAACTTATAGTACAATTATCTTAATATATATAAATTACGTGTCACGTTGTTTGTCCGCAATGGACTCCTAAACGACTTAACTGATTTTAATCAAATTTGCACACCGTGTCCAGTTTGGTCTAACTTGAGAGATAGGATAGTTTTTTTGCCCATGAGTGGCCCACAATTTTTTTTTGCTAATTTAAGGATTTTTAATAGGACATGACAAAAGGTCGTTGAAAAGGGCAGAACAAAGTCTGCCTGACAAGCTAGTAAACTATAAAGCTAAGACTTTTAAGTAAAAGCTTGATAATAAAATTAATGTCTATTTGTATTGTAGTGTTGCTTAAATTTTCTTTTTCTAAATCGCCCCGTAAAAGCGAAGTTTGCCACTATACTTGTACCACTATCCAGCGTAAAGGCTCTCCTGATGTAGGAGTTGGATAGATTGACAATCACAGTGCCAGTCATTTTTAACAAATTTTTTATGCTGGTATTCTGTAAGAGCGTGGTCCTTTCCTGGTCGAGCCGAGCTATTCGTGCTACAACTATATCAGTAATATAGCTGTAGCATGGCTCTACCATGGAATTGATTATAAATGTTATTTTATTTTAATTCAACTAGAAAAATATATTACTAATAGGGAATATTATGTGTTCTTTTAATTTTCTTTATAAAATTAAATAAAATAATTGTTAATTTTTGAATTCACCTGATTTAACGATAAAAATTCGGAGAAGAATCCAGTGATTCCAGTACTATGGTTGCTATACATGGTGTGATGACTTCCAATCAAACTGAACATGCAGTAAACAAACATTCCTGTCTGTGCCAGGATCAACAGAGAAGTATCAAGCCCCAAAACAGCTGAAAATAATTGTTATTAATCCAAATTATAATATAATATATTAAATATATTACTTAAGTAGGCTAAAGCAGGATTAGGCCCACTTTGAGGCATCAAGAATTGAGTGATGGTAGACCTTTTTTACATAGAATGACGGTGAAAAACGAGCACATAGTCCACCTGATGGTAAGTGGATACTGTGACCCATAGACATCTACATTTATCTTCAATTAAGAATTAAAATTTAACAGTGGTAGCTGAGATGGTTAACGCTCGCTGTAAATATAACAGAACGCGAGTAACCCGGGTTCGAACACCGGCGGCACCAATGAAATTGTTAATTGCAATTTTAAGTGCTGATTTACCACGTTCTCGGTGGTGAAGGAAAACATCGTGAGGAAACCTGCATGTCTGAGGAATAAGAAAAAAAAATATTTCGAAGACATGTGAAGTTCGCCAACACGCATTGGGGCAGCGCGGCGGACACTTCCTTGCCCTAAAACCCCCTCAGAAATGAGGGAAGGCCTGTGCCCAGCAGTGGGACGTATATAGGCTGTAACTTTACTTTACTTTAACTTTAAGAATTAAAATGTTGATGCGTTGTCATCCCTAAGGACTGAGACGGAATGCCTCGTTTTCAGTAAAAAGGGTCTCCGGTTTTCTACACTCACCATACGGAACACAGCAGCATTAAGCTACTATTTTACGCTGGTATTCTGTGAGAGCGTGGTCCTACCCCGGCCGAGCCGACCCATTCATGTTGCAACCACAATATCTGCAGCATGGCTCTACCACCACGTAATAGACGGATATGTAGGAAGGTGATGGGTGCAGGTTGTCGAGACCGCGGTTTGTGGCAAACTATGTGGGACGTGTGTGTTGAATGGGAGACTTATGATAGGTGGTGACGACGATTTAATCATTTGGAAATGATATTCAATTGAATTCTATTGTAAAGCATCTATACTTAGTCCGTATTCTTATTACAATTTTTCAAGTAGTATTAAAAATATTGTCATCTATGATTGATTTTTATAATTAAGCCATTACGCTCTAAAGCCATATAATATAATATCACTAACCTTGGGATTTTCGTTTGTATGGTAACGCTCTCATTTGTTTCAAAGCTGCTGTAGATGCAAGAATAGTCAACGTATAAAGGATCAATTCACAAATATTCACTTCGAATATAGCATCCTAAAAGTAAATATGAAAATTAATTACTATGAACAAAAAATAAGCACAATAAAGCATTTACAATCAAAGTATTACATTAATTGTTTTTGAATTATTTGCTAGTACGAAGAACATGATTAAGGATATTATTGTGAAAACAATCAAGAGAATTCCAGCAAAAAGACCACGATGAGCATGAGAACAGTCCACGGAGAAATGATGAAGCGCATTGTGACTTCCGTGAGGTGAGGTTACTCCTAACATACCGGCTGAAAAGAAAACACATAAAAGATAAGATAACCAAATATCGTTGTCATGAATCAATTGATCGTCTGAATATAATTATCCCAACCGAACTGCTGTAAGATTTTTTCTGGAGTAACTGAATTATTCCTTGATTTGTTTTTGCTAACGTTGAACTTTCTTTCAAAGTCTCGAGGTGTACACTTTACCTTTAAAAAATAATAGGTTTTAATACAAAAAAAAAAACGTTTACAATAAATTACAAAATATTTACAATTTTTGAGTTTTTACCTCTTTCCACATCTCATATAAAATAACTGCACATATTAGAGAATATTCTATCGTACATGGAAAAAGAAACGGAGATGCATTACGTAATAAAGTACCCATAATGTTTTCCCTGCGACATGGCAACCCTGACGCTTCATTATGAGATCCATTAGTTTTCGATAGCATTGTATGTTCCAAGTGATGTATTTCGTGCTTTGTTTCCTCTACAAGAACGTACAGCCACTCGCAAAGATTAGTCGCAATCATATGCATAAATCCAAATCTCTGTACCATTTTATAGCTGCCCGCTTCGATGTCTTTGTTTGTTAGGAAAATGAACTGCATTTGAGCCAGTGTTAATGCCGTTCGTAATGCAGGCGTTAGAGCTGATAGAATGGATCGACAACGATCTGTCATTTCGAAGTATTCTCCAAATTCTAATCCACTGTACACCATCGAACCAATACCAAAAGCTGAAATATATTATTAGTAGTATATATAACAACGTATATACATTATGCATCGTAATTAAGTATATTTATGAGTCTTATAGCTGTTGCAGTTTTAGACAACTCTTAAATAAATAAATGAGTAGGTATTACCGATAGCTCCTAATCTCAGATAGAAACTACCATATCGGGATATCGATTCCTTTTCCTTTTCTTTATTTCTTTCACAAGGTGTAGTTTTACCAGTCCTATCTTCTTTGTTTGTATTTGTAACACCTGCACACATGAAAACACAATATCGGTAATGTGGTCCTTGGTTTTATGCATGTGTAAAAATAAAATTCGCATTTAAAAATTATTTGAATAGCTAAAGAAGTTAGTGGAATACAAAGTGAAGACGGTAATATCCTTTGCGGTAGCAATTATGCAAAGTAGATACGATTTTAATGTCGCATTTTGTTACGCAAATGCGGCTAATTACTTAAAGTCATGACTTTGCTCGATTTTAATATTTATTTATTTATTTAAATAAAATTAGAGTAACAAACGAGCACACAGTCCACCTGATGGTAAGTTAATGTTGTGGCCCATAGAAATCAAAATGCAGATGCATTGTCACCCCTGAGGACTAAAATGGAATGCCTCGTTTCCAGTAAAAAAGGGTCTCCGGATCTCTACACTCACCATACGAAACACAGCAGTATTGAGCTGCTATTTTACGCTGGTATTCTGTAAGAGCGTAGCTCTTCCCCGGTCGAGCCGACCCATTCATGCTACAACCATAATATGGCTCTACCACGTTTAAAAGTGTGTCCTTTTAATAAGTATTTCTGTCCTTTTAATTCAAAACATATTAGAACTGAAAGAATTCTTACCGTTAATGATCAAATTTACAGCTTTCTGGCGCATCAAATTAACATAATGAAAGATCACAAACAGCAATGATACTAAGTACAGATATAAGTAGAATCCCTGCGAAAATATTAAACACATGTGTAATGTATTCTGGTAATCTAGTAATATTTTTATTTATTTAACCAAACTTTACCTGATAGTATCCATCTGGTACCCCATGTGCAATAACTTCTGTAACAGGGAACGCAATTCCAAGCACTACTAACAGTTTGGCGTACAGCGCTGAAAGCGCTTTACTCAGAGCTTCACTGAAAAAAAGTTAAATTAAAATTTAGACCTTAGTTTCCAAGAGGCATTTTCTAGGTATTTTACAAGTCAATTTTATTATTACTATAAGTCTACTGTTCTACGTTTTCCAAGCTGTTGAAATTGGCTAAGTTGAAAGACTAAACGTTGGTGTAATGGTGATCACAGGCTTCGTCCCGCAATCACAATCTTCCATCTCTCTCATTTCATTGAACAGTTTTTCAGCTAGTAAATGAAAGCTTCCGTTTTTAAAAGGTACTAGCTAACTACTTATATATACGATCTGCCCCGGCTTCACACAGATGATTTCTGGATTCTACAAAGGCACCACCTATCGGTTCGAACTATGCCTATAACCTTCGCGGAAGTTCAAGTATGCAATATGATGGCAAAGTTTTACCACAATCTGATAAACAGTGTTGCAATGCATAAAATACGAACAAACAAATGTTAATTTTTGTATTGTTGCACGCCTAAGTTGACGGCAGGTACCTGCCACTAGCGCTATCTCGTGTCGGGGACCAGAGTGAGGATGGCTTCCTAGAAAATGTCGATCTTGACTTTCGACCAACAGCACCATCTAGTATCGAACAGAAGAATTAAGCTTTCTAGAGCCCCACACTCGAACTTCCTGCATCTGGTCGGTCGGCGCCCGTATCTACCGGAATATTCTGGATGTTTCGGTGTAAAAATTGTATTTAAAGGAGCTGCAAGACGCGATCGGGGCAGTATTGAATTCGGCGAGACAAGCGAAGCTTCGGAGCGAAATAAAGAGAATCATTGTGATTAATTAATAGTGTCTTGTAAGTTTTAATTGGTGTAAAGTGAATTAAAGTGTTAATTTTGGTAATTCAATCGGCAGTTTTTATTGTCACGAACCTAAGCTTGTAACAGTATATTAGATTTTTATAGGGCAAATAGAATATTTTTTATAGGATGATGACAAACGAGGTGTGCTCGTTTGTCCGTTTGATGGTAAGTAGTTACTGTGGCCCATAGACATCTACATCTATTTTCGATTACGAATTAAAATGCAGATGCGTTTTCTCCCCTGGAATGCCTCGTTTCCAATAAAATGGGTCTTGGGTTCTCTACACTCACTATACGAAGAGTTGAGCTACTATTTTACGCTGTTATTCTGTGAGAGCGTGGTCTTTCCCCGGTCGAGCCGACCCATTCGTGCTAAAACTATGCTATTGATATTACTACATGGCTCTAAAAATCAACATTCAAATTATCATTGCTCATTGTTATATAATAAACGCGGCGTTATTATAATTAAAATATTATAGTAAATTCATACGTGGTAGAACCACGTCGGTTCAACCGAGGGACCAAGCTCTTACAGAACACCAGCGTAAAATAGCAGCTTAAGGCTGCTGTATTTCATGTGGTAGGTGTAGAGAACCGGAGACCTTTTTTTACTGCTAATGAGGCATTCCACTTTAGACAACGCATCCGCATTGTCATACTTAATCGAAGATGGATGTCGATGTCTATGGACCACTGCATCCACTGTGACTGTGTGATCGTTTGTCACCCTTATTCTTTAAAAAATAAAATTATATCCTTTTGTGTTGTTTGTAAACATCGCAATAGACGGATATTTTATCGCTATGTCTATTATCGTATAGGTTAGCAACTTAAATTTCGACTATTGCTATAATTGACTCAGGTGCGAATGTAAACATCAAATAAGATGGATGAGTTACTTTTCTACGTAGAGCTCCATCCGGGTTGCTTTCACACTCTCACCTATTTCTATCGCCAATTCTGTATGTTGTAATTGTTTGTGATATGGCCACACTGCTGTGTACTGTATTAAAAGTGAGTCATTATTATAAGAAAAAGGCTTTGAGGTTTATCATTTATCCTCGGGATAGATAACCAATCGGTGGTCTTTTTTCTCTATATGTTTGCACGTGTTAATGTCCTACAGTGGCCATCAAGTGAACTCTTAGCATGTTTGCCACTTTAATATTAAAAAAATATGTGCGCAGTTCATACGCGGTAAAAGTGAAATAGGATAATATTACATATTATGATATTAAATAACATTGCATAGTATACAAACTCTTTCAGTTCAATCACAGTAAGTATTTAAATATTTTCATACAACAAATTTTGTTCTTAATCCTCACTGCTCATTGATCACATGTATAATATCTATCTCTATCTATAAAAATCAATTGCTGTCCGTTAGATTTTTTTATAGCAAAGGGTGACAAACGAGCTCACAGTCCACCTGATGGTAAGTGGATACTGTGACCCATAGACATCTACATCTATCCTCGATTACGAATCAAAATGCAGATGCGTTGTCACCCGTGAGGACTAAGATGGAATGCCTCTTTCCAGTAAAAAGGATCTCCGGTTCTCTACACTCATCATACAATACACGAAAGCAGCATTAAACTACTATGTTGTGTGCATTCGTGCCACAACTATACTACTACTGTAACTGCAGCATGGCTCTACCACGTAAATAGTAGTCTAGATAAAACTCAAAAACGGCTCTAACGATTTTGATAAATTTTTGGTGTGAGTTTGAGTTTGAATGGTTTAGGTAAATGTTTGTCTCTTTTTAGTGTCGCTTTTTCCTTTCACCAAATTTCAAATCACAATGATTCTAAAGAACGTTTCAATTCAAAAATATTATAAAATAAAAATAACGGTATTATGTTTCTGAACTCGAACACTATTGTATCACTATTTGTGTACCTATTATAGATTATTAAATTAATAATCTTTTTAGAGCACCGACCACCTATTCTGATTTTCTTTCATTTAATACCTACGCCATATTATTTAGAAGTGCAAGCATAATCGCATTAAAGGATTACTACTGAATCTATTATAATGGACATTACAGCGATATTTGAGTGGCTTGATATGTAATCTAGTTAATACTGTTCTAGATTATGTAAATAGACTTTCATTAACTAAAAAGATGCAACCTTTTTTAAATAGGTTTATTTATTTTTAATTCCGTATAAAATTTTCCCTAATGCTCATTCACTTACTCAACCTTTGAGACGATTTCAACACGTGAAATTTCTTACTTGTAAAATAATAACTGGATTGTTTAATATGGAAAATGCTTTACTATAGTGAAACATTAAAACAATTGATTTTTAATTAGAGTGGACAACGGGCACTGAATATTCACACTAGGTAAGCTTGCAGTAGATATTTCATGTGTGTCCCTTATCCGAACCCGATTCTGAGTAAAGTAGTTAGAAGAAACTGGATTAGTGAAGCCGAAGACCGGGTTAAGTGTGTTGATGAGTAAAGAGTGGCATAGTTTTGTGGTCGTGAGAAAAGTGCTCTTTAGATATTTTTGCACATATATTACATATAACATAACATAAACACTCACGCCTGTCACCCAGAGGGGTAGGCAGAGACTACAGACTTCCATTTGGCACGATCCTGAAACACCTTTCTCGCTTCCTTGACATCCACATACCTACGCATACAAGCTCGTCGGTTAAGGGTACTCCTAATTTGTCCCGTTTTTAATAAATCGCCAATTTGGTCTGTAAATTTTCGCCTAGGGAAAAAAGGGACGTCCCTTTCCGACTCTGCCATTCACTTCTGCAACATAAATTTTCTTTGTCGCTCTTTCCTTATTCATTCTTTCCACATGACCAAACCACCGAAGCATTCCTTTCTTAATCCTGGTCACAAAATCATCTTGCAAACCACACTCTTCTCTTATCACACAATTTCTCACCCTGTCATTCACATTCAGCCCTAACATACTCCTTAACGACCGCATTTCTACTGCGTTCATTCTACTCTCGTTCTTCATCTGCCACACCCAACTTTCACTACCATACGTCAAAGTAGGGACCAACACAGCATTGTAAATTACCATACGTGCCTTTTTCGATACATTTTTACACTTCACAATAGAGTGTAGGGTCCCATTTACTCTATTTCCTGCATTCACTCGTCGTTCTATATCCTTATCACATCTCCCATCCCTGCTAAATACGCAACCCAGATATACAAACTCTTCTACTTGCTCGATCAACTCCCCTTCTATTCTTATTTCACATATCATCTTACTTTCTTCTCTTTCAAAAACCATAACTTTAGTCTTACTTGCGTTCACTTTCATACCCCTTTCTTTTAATGATCTGTTCATCAATGTAACCATCATTTGCAACTTGGCCGCCGACGATGCAAGAATAACTTGATCATCGGCTAACAAAAGGAATTTGACGGTTAACTCACTTATATTATCACATATATTAATGGCGAAGTATTTGGGATCTAATCTACTAACGCTCGAATAAATCCGGCAAAACATGTCCAATAAAGTATATATAAAATGTAAGATAAAAACTATAAAAATATCCATATTTAATTCATAATAGTTAAAAACTATTTCGTATCGTATTTATTTCAAAACAAATAATTAAATCAAAAAAGGTAAATTAATTTGACGTGTGTAAAATACAAAATGAACTTTTAAAAAATTATTGAGAAATTCTAGATTCTGACGGAGTTTCTTAGGGGTAATTGCGATTAAGTAGTCTACTACAGGACATTCTCATTTCCAGTTATAGTTTACGTATTTCTGAAGAGAAGTAGGAAGACTTAATAATATGTTGAAGAAAAACAGTTACATGTTATGTTTATTTGTTTCTTAATTGATTACTTATATCAAATGATTTTAAGTAAATATAATTTTGTAGGCAAAATAACGTTTCGAACCAAACGAAATTTTTATTTATGAAATTAGAGTCACTCCCATCGAAAAGTATAGGCATACTACAAATCTAAAAATTTTGAGCGTGTGAGAAGGTTATTTGATTTTTGATATTAGTTCGGAAAATTACATTATGAAATCTTAAAATCTAGACGTACATTTTATTTTTATTTGAAGCGACAGTGAAACGTAGCAGGGGTAATATAATTTATTAAGTTTGGTTATAAACAATAATATCTAATTTAGATTGTCACAAATAGATTTAGTAGCCGATTCTGGATACATTTATCAGGGCTTGCGTTCATTACGTGACAGGCTTCGTTACACAATGACATACAATAAAAATGTAAATTGTAATATTTTTGTAAAAAGAGTGATTGAGAATGATTAAAAATAAGTAATTAAATATCTACCATTTTAAGAATCGTCTATCTGTGTGTTTGCTTATGAACATATTTCGTCTAAAGTACTGATGTTTTTTTAAAAGAATCGCTAAGACCGTCATTAAGCGTATCTTTGAGTAACATTTAGTCTTTGTTTTATTAAAATCGGTTGGTTTTGTTAAAAATTATAATTATTATTTAGAAATGTAGCTATTAATTTACAAATTGATTTTGTCGAGTGATTAATGCATTTTAATATCTAGTCTCAGAAATCGTAATTAAACGAAGTAAAGTAATGTTTTATAAAGGTATACCTACTTTGTGGCATTCTTTGTGGGAGGCCTATGTTCAGTAGTGACCTTGTGAAGGGCTGTAAGGATGATGAATGGTATGTTTATACTATAAACTGATTAATAAAAGAAATAATGTGTTTTCTCACAAAGATTAATGCAATTTCATCTCAGTAGAAAAGTACAATGGTTAACCCAGCGTCATCGATAGATGGTGCTGTTACAAATAAGAGAGTATTTTACCGCACGAGTTCATATAAAACGAAACACTCACAATTTTGAAATGAAAATTAACAACACAACTTGCTAGAGCGCATCTAAAGTTTGGAGGTAGTCAGAGAATGAAAACTTTGTCGCATCACTTTGTGAAGCAAAAATTGTCAAAAGCATTATCTATTTTCTTTTTTCTTTATCAGTCCATAAAAGTTTACCGAACGACATACTCGTAGGCCTCTCCCACTTCAGGGGTGATTTGCCGTAATTATAATTGCGATAACCTGCCTGCCGTCAGGCAGGGTATCGCAATATAAAACGTTTCGCACCTTTGACGTTCCTGCCCGTAGCCAGTCTGGCTATTGTATGTCTAGCTCTGACACAAACGATATGGTTATACCGTCATAAACTATCGAAACACATTAGTCTTGGCGTTTCCTATAGTCGCCTGTTACATACACAACCCTGGCTCGTAACGGGTAGATGGATAATCCTTAACGTTGAAGTTTACAACGCAATGTTAGCATAACCTTTTCCTAAGTTTCTTTTGCGTATTTTCATAGTGCATATCTACGTTACTTAGTTTTATTTTTAATAAAATATTGAAATTATGGCAGGCTCGTTTAAGTTATCCATGCACTTGATCGGTTTTATGATGATATTATTCTTTGTGAGTACGAAAATATCTATATTTTTTCTGTTTGAGTTGAACTGTAGTGTGGTTTATGAAATATGATCTATTAGGCCCAATGATAATAAATAAATAAATAATGTAATAATTTAATTAATAAAGAATTCAAAATTTCTTTGTATTTAAGTAAATCTGTAAATGTGTTTAATTGTAATTTAATATGGCAAAATAATTTTAAGTATAATATAAGCTTAGTGTCATTAATTCTTTTAATTTAAATTAATTTTTGCATTCCAATTATGGCAAAAAATGTCAATTCTACATAATCATTTGTACCATCATGTACCATGTTTTTAAGAAAATAAATATTCTATTCTATTCTGTTTCAAAGGAAGGCGATGGATGATGTAGCTCAGTACCGTGCTTTGTGGCATCCTTTGGGGGATGCCTGTGTTCAACATTGAACTTGTGAAGGGCTCTAACAATGATGATGATGATTATATTCTATTCTAGAAATAAAACTTCCAAAACAAACAAGTTACTAACAAAGGTTCTATGCGAACGAAGTCGCGGTACAGGTAATAAATAAAGGTAGATAATATAATACTTAAAAAGAAGATAATTACAAAAATCACTTTTATAAGTGGTATAAACTTATTAATCTTATTTCTTTAAAAGTAGTTTTTTTGAGCCGAATTTTGTTAAACAAACGGATTGTTTAATAAAATTCGGCTAACTGTAGTATATACGTACTTCCAATCCTAATGCATAAGCATTGAGGTTGGAAGTACGCATATCAATTATGTATAGAAGTTAGTAACTAGATTGATGTATAATCAAAATTGCCCATTAATTGACCTGTGGTAATGGTGATTTTAAACATATAACGGAATAAGTTAAATACTTACTGCCCTAAAATCTCAGCGGCAGAACGCGGTGATTCGTGGTTTGTAGATGCAACAGAAGTAAGTGAATGTGACCCAAGTTCCGATAAAAATCGGCGTTGTGTTGCTGCACACAGGGCCAAAGCTTGAGATGGACGACTGAATGCAGCAATTATAGCCGATGGACGCCTACAAGAAATTATGTCGGTATAATATCAGTATTAAATATGAGAATTTACGATCTATTTACAGAACTTAATGAGATCCGCAGAAAGTATATATAAGCTTTTCGTGTTGTATTTAAAACTAAGAAAAGACAAATTATGAATTTAAGGAAGAATACTTAAATCAACAGAATATTATTGATAAATATAGATTATATAGTCACTAATGCTATCCAATAAACAGTCAGAAAATGTTTTCAACCAGAAGAATATCATCATGAACAATAGTTTTATTTATTACATACAAATACATCTACCTGGTGTTTAGGTTGGCTGCCAATTTTGCGTCTATATCATTAGACACACGTCTGCTGTTCGGTTGAGAATGTGAATTCTGCACGAGTGGTTCTGCAGCAGAACCAAGCATAGCTCTTGTGCGTTCGCGAAGTCTTCCCAAGTCGGAATATGATGATTCATCGCTAAAATAATGAAAACGATTTAAAAAAAATTGATTAAAATCCTACTCAATCTTTTTCTCTTTAACCAGTTCATAGTCATAATTTTTTTTAATTTTTTAAATTTTTTGGGAAAAAGCAGTTGCACATTAACGTAAAATTATTTTTTTACTAGGAGTACTTAATGTATAAATTTAAAGTTAAAGTTACAGCCTATATACGTCCCACTACTGGGCACAGGCCTCCTCTCATTTCTGAGAGGGTTTTAGGTCAAGGAAGTGTACGCCGCGCTGCCCCAATGCGTGTTGGCGAACTTCACATGTATTAATAATATATTTTTTTATTTCTCAGACATGCAGGTTTCCTCACGATGTTTTCCTTCACCGCCGAGGACGTGGTAAATCAGTACTTAAAAGTGCAATTAACAATGTCATTGTTACCGGCGGACCCGAGTCGCTCGCGTATTGTAAAATTTACAGCAAGCGTTAACCATCTGAGCTACCACCGCTCCATACTTAACGTATAACCCACTTCAATTCCCACAAAGTAATATTATATGTGTACACTTATGTTTTATACAATTGAGCAATATATAAAAGTTTAGAAAATTATGGTAATTAATGCATAATCTATAAATCATTATAAATTATGCATTAATCTACTTTTGTCATGTGCCTCTCCCATTGTCAGGGTTTAATGATATGAAGTCTAATGGACCGCAGTCAATCCACCATGAATTCAAGCCAACGCAATAGTATATATGTGTGTATTATGGACTACAAACATATCTCTGTCAATTTGAAAAATCTCAGTAGATTACTTTTTACTGGTAACGAGACCTTAAATTTTCGTTCTTAGGCGTCTTTATTTTATTTGATAGATGTAAGTGTATACCTTTACTGTGTCTTCAAAGGTTTTTGTCGATTTTAGTATATATTCGTATATTACGTTTAAGTTGCTTGAAGAGTCTCCGTTTTGTATTAATTATTTTCAGGGGAGTGCATCTGCTGATATACAATATTTTATTATCTAGTACGATATAATTTATAACATCCCATCTGTGTAATTCAAGCTAGAGGATAAGATTACGTAAAGTAGGGTGAATCCAGAACTCCTAAGTCTTTCGATATGAACTGTGCTAAGATTTAGTGACTAATTAGTGCCTATTGCTATGAAATAAATCAGTATGATTTATCAAGTAAGACACAATATTGTGATGATGTACAGTTATAGCATACTGCTTATCACAAATTATGCTTGTGAGAAAATTATTAATAGATAGAAGAAATGAATAACGTAGTATTTACTTCCTTCTAAAATTTACACTGTAAATTCCCACATAAAAGTACGAGATTTTACTCAGTATGATTACAATTAAAATTATTTATATTTTAGTATATATAAAAAATAAATCAAGCTGCTGAGGTGATAAAATTAGCTTAATTTATAAGACGAGAAACTGTAAATAATAAGGTTGTTTGATTAAGTTCCAGCTTAAAGGATGCTAATCTCGATATATTACGAAAGTCATCAATTAGTCACTAAATCTTACAATAGGAATCGCATCTCAGACGCAATGCTGGTGTTTTCGAGGGGAGGTTGCTAGTTTGAATTCATCTAGCACCCACCCAAAAAGTGCTATAATTCCTACAGTATTGAGTTATTAATTTATGCAGTCACCAATTGTTCACAAAATTTAAATTATCGTTGGGGAAGATTCCAGCTTGAAGGACGCGCGCTATATACACTAATTTTACTAACAAGGCGTTGAACAACTGTGCATAATAATCTAGATGAATTAAGTATTTATTCAAATTGTGGCTTAAATAATATATGAAAAAAAAAAAACATTTCCAATTATTTTTCTGTGTAGTCCGCTTAAGGCTCTGTGGCGGCGCTTTCGTCGCGCCGCAAGCGAAACACACCGAAGCCTCAATCACGTTACCAAAATTCCGAATCGTAAACAGTATATATAGAACATCTCCGAACTATCACACAGAGTGTTGGCCGCTCCCCGGGCAGAACACCTTGCCCGGCGGGAGATCTCCCCTTTTCCTTCCACGGCCACAATGGTGACTAACCGACGTGATCTGAACACGCAACCAACAACCTTCAGAAACTTCAAGCTTCAACATCGTCATAGAGTACCCAACCCATTCGCTCCCGAGCAGATATCGTCTGCAGTCTTCATATCCTGCAAGCCATTTAGCTTCACAAGGTTCATGGCAGTACTGGAATAATAATGCTTCCTGTTCTTTCAAGCTACTCACGCACGGCACGGCTCGGAGCCTTACTGCTCGCCTCTGCTTCACGGCATTCTCGCAGATTACTTGCCTTCTTCTCGACTCACCGCAGACTACAAGGCAATCTCCTGGCACTTGCACATTCGTCGGAAACGAGGCTGCACTATCGACCTCCGGTCTGAGCAGGGGGGTGATGTGGCGGCGTTCTCGTCGCGCCGCAAGCGAAACACACCGAAGCCTAAATCACGCTATCAAAATTCCGAATCATAAACAGTATATATAGAACATCTCTTAACTATCACACGGAGTGTTGGCCGCTCCCCGGTCAGAACACCTTGCCCGGCGGGAGATCTCCCCTTTTCCTTCCACGGCCACAGCTCCATTCCATAATCCATTTCTGTATTTCATTAAGATTTACGTCTTCAATAATTATATAAACGACTATCATCTTAAGTCTTTTTGTGAGTCTGTCATTAACACTGACTACACTGGCCAGAATAAATTGCTATTGTAATACTAAATATTTAACATCATAGACATTGCTCCCTATTCTTTTTTTCTGATCATTTTTGATGGTATTTCAAAACAATCGGTCGTTTGATCAAAATGTATCCAAATCTATATAATACTATACTCTATTTGTATCGACCAAAACGAGACACAATGCGTAGGGCAAGGATTTTGTTTTCAATAAGAGGATTAGAACCATAAATCGGTATCGTAGCAGAGCTCTTGTACTGTCTCTAAAATACAGCCGGACATTCGGATCACGATTTGTTTCATCACCAAATATAAAGATTGAGTGATAAATGATTAGAATATTATGTGACATCTAAGTCTAAGTCTGTTTTTATCTAAGTTTATTGTAAACTTCACAGAAAACTATTTAGTGACTTGTTATCTTTAAAATTAAAATAATCTGATTGTAATGAACAACCACTGCATTTTAGTAATGAATATGGACTTGGTTATTGTTTCGTTTTTAATTATGTATTATCTAATGACTTTGTTGTAAACTTGCGATTCGCCTTGGCTTCGAATGGCTAATAATGTGGCATTATCTAAATTTAAGATTATCATCAAAGACCATTCATAAAAATATTATTTTTTTAAATCTCTTAGTGGCAATATTTTTGATACTATAGACGGATACTTCAATTCAAAAAAAAAAAAAAACAAACACAAAACGTTGACAAAGAGCACCAAAGGTTGCGGATATCTGGTAATGCGATTTATACAAATACACCATGCAGTGCCGCAGTGTGGGATGCTGCCGGCCGAAGCTTCTAGAGCTAAAAATGCCGTGTCCTCAACCCATTTTCGAAGTATCATAAAAAATAAACATTTTAAATTCGCGTTTTCGTTTATTATGAAGTAGGTGTTCTTAATAATTTTATCAAAAGTATTCAATAAAAGCTGCTTTCAGATTTTTTTAGTTTTTTTACTGCTATTATTGAAAAAAAAACAAGACGTAGATTAACTTATATTTCTACAATGTCACCTATTAAAATCTGGCCCCCGTCCCTTGCTACGTTACTGCAGCCATGTACAATAGTGAACTATAAAATTTCTTGAATGATCCTAATAATTACCGGTCTTTTTATATAATAGACTAAAGGAAGGTACATTGGGCGACACAAAGCATTCTATCAAACATCATAAATATTTGCGAAGCTTTGCTGCCGTTACTGCAGCAAAATCCCTCTTTGCGTATGCATTTCATACTTCTCTCTTTGTTACAGAGTTTGAAATCGTGTGGGTTGTTTTAGCTTCGTCAGAACGCAGAGAAGCAATATTTAAAATCGAAAATAAAATACTACGAAAGAAAATTATATAGCGCTCTATATATTTTATTATAGAAAGAAAGAAACAAACACTTTACAAACAAGTTTACAAATTGATCATAACAATACACTGAAACAAGTCAAATTGACTACAACAATACACTGATGTATGACAAAAAACGAAATTGAATAAATTTGGCTTTGTACGTAGATGGCGTGACAAAAACAGTCATAACTCAGTTGTGTAGTGGAGACATCACCACGCTGATTTTCAGTATTAACCTACATAAAAAAAAACCTAGGAAAAAACATCACCAAGCGTAAATGTAGTGAAATTTTAAAAAGAAATTTCAAGTCCTAATGTATAACATAGCAGTTTAATACTGTTGTGTTTCGTATGGTGAGTGTAAAGAAACGAAGAACCTTTTTACCGGAAACGAGAAATTCTATCTTAGTCCTCAGGAGTGACAACGCATTTGCGTTTTGATTCCTAATCGAGGATGGATGTCTATAGGACAAATTACCATTTACCAATCCAACTACCATCAAATGGACTGTGCTCGTTTGTGACCCCAAACTATCAAATATAAATAAATTGGTGGACCCTGCAGGCCATTCCTGGAACTTCCCGCTAATTTTAAATGCAAAGCGCTCCAAACTTCACCAAATTATGTTGTCTCGAAGTTATGTTAAAAAAAAAACTTTTTTTTTTCAAATTCTTTCTCCTTCGATATCTCACGAACGAATGAACCGATTTTTATTTTACAAACGGCATTCGACGTCATTTTTTGAGGTTAAGAGCTAATTAGTTTTTGAAATCGATCGGTAAAGCCGTTTAAAAGTTACTCCAAAAAACTTTTTCAAAATTTTTATTTTTAATATTTCTCAAAATTTACTCGTCCGAATCAGTTCATATTATCACCAAATCAACGCTTCTCATTCGATTAAGACAATCAAAAATTATGAAAGGTTTACATACTCACACACACACTCACACACACACACACACACACACACACACACACACACACACACACACACACACACACACACACACACACACACACACACACACACACACGCGCACACGCACACACACACACACACACACTCACGCACACATACACACACACACATATACATACATACATACATACATACTTACATCCGTACGGACGTTCACGTGAGTCGGGGTGAAACCAATAACTTTTTGAAAATTTTCTTCTTAGCGGGAAGTTAAAAAGTTTATTTCAATCAATATTAATTGCCACATATCTAAGTAGCGTCTAAAGTATATTTTGGAAGTGTCGTAAAAGATCACATGAATCTCACAGATCTTACAGTAGCAACTCAATCATTACACGAAACGACCTGTGAATTTTATATTTAAAAAAGCTTTTCAACTGAAATATAGTTGCATTGAACTATTTCGACTTCACCGCTTTGAGCGCAAAATCTCCAAAATGTGCATCCGTTTGGCGGAAATGTCTCCCTAAGCTTCGTTGTATCCGCGCATCTATCCGATACGTAAATATTACAAATATATACTTTCTTTCCACATAATTTACCATATATTTATTTTAGTTCCATATTATTTGAATTTCAAAAACAACGTTATATTTTATATATTCGAGTGGTACGGACGTTGAATATGATGTGTATTCTTAACAATAAAACTTTGGTTAGCTATATACAATATAAGTCTTGGTTGTGGCAAAGAATACATATACTACGCGAGTTGTGGTTTATACCTACCGTTGATAAAGCTTATACACCGTCTTTTATTTCGTTTTTAATTATAATGATCACATTTATTGTCTTAAAGGTGTTGGATATTTTATAATATTTGAGAGACACTTTTTGTCTGAAACAACATTATGGAGAACATTGGTACATTTTGTTGTTTTGCTTTATACCGGAAATGGAGGGTAAGCGGTCGTTATATTCATATACACCATTGTCCCTATTCATGAATTACATAGGGACATATGTTGACAGAAAAAATTTAAAAATTATCATATAGATAGACTTTTATTTATTTGTCAACTGTATTACTACAATTTTGTTTACAGTTTGTGCCAGATTTGACACAAACTAATTTAATTTGATTCACAGTTGACGAATGAATTTATTTTTCGTAATGAAGGTTTGTCCTTTGTGGTATTCCTTAGGGAGACCTAAGTTTAGCAGTGGATTTGTGATGGGCTGGTATAAGGACCACGAAGAAATAATAATTTGTCGTCTATTGGTTAAGTAGTTTTTTTTTATAAATACGCTTATTGTTTTGTTTCGCTACTTGACAATGTTACTTATTTTATTTATTTATTCTTTATCAGCCTGCAAAAGTTATTTTGCTTGACATGGGTCTCTCCAGATGCGTCATTGCATCAATGGGAGATTGATTACAATCAAGGCAAATGCTTTGTGATTTTGATATGATTGTAGCACCAGATGATACTTATGGTACGAAAAAATAGCGTGATGGATTTTCTTACATCGACATCACACGGCAATTTTTGGCTATACATGGTGGTTAATTTAATATTGTTACGGCTTATGTTTGTTAAATAACTAAATAAAAATAAATCGACTTAAGAATTTCAGTTGTTTATGTGTGATTTCTACATAATAGCTTCGGGAGTTGTTGCTAAGACACTATGATTGTATCTTTTTATTAAAACTTTATTTTGTAACCCTTATAAGGGTGTTAAAATGTTTAAGAAATATCTCTAGTTCAAGGTTACTATTAGAATTTCGTCTAAATAGTTACATTAAAATCATTATCTCCGACAGGCTTTATCCGACAGGCTATGGGTTACATATATATATTTGAGAAATCTGTAAAAAACATACGCGTCAAATATAAAACCTTTTTATTTTTGAACTTGGTTAAATATGAAGCAATATGAATTACTTAGGTTTTAAGTATCGTTTTTCTAAATAATTAACTCTTAAATAATTTACTCAGTACGTTTGTACGTTTTTTATATCAGTTTCAAATTCAAATGGTATTTTTATTCACAAAGATAAATTTAAAAGACTTAGGCGATTTATTTATTTTCTATACTTTGTATTACGATAAATGTTTCAGAATATACTTGGATGAAATGAATAAATATCACAAAACATCCTTAGTATGTTCTTCTTCTGTTTCTGACTATTTTAGTTCACAGTTGCGCATAGATCTTTTAAGAAAGTACTAATTGGTAAGCATTTCTTAAATGAGTTGCCAATACTCCCAGGCTGATTGATGAGTGCAAGGTCTATGGCATAGCGCTCTAATGGTGCTTTATGCCAATGGTATTTACGATAGGCATTTTTGAAGTGTTTTAAGTCATTTTTCTGTTGACACAGGACTTCCATGATAGAGCCTCATTCCGTTTACAGCCGTAAATAAAACATAAAATAAAATTATTATACATTTAGTGTAATCTTAATATATATAAATTATGTGTCACGTTGTTTGTCCGCGATGGACTCCAAAACTACTTAACCGACTTTAATCAAATTTGCACACCGTGTGCAGTTTGGTCCAACTTGAAAGATAGGATATTTTTTTTGCCCATAAGTGACTCACAATTTTTTTTTGCGAGTTTAAGGATTTTTAATAGGACATGATAAAGGGTCGTCGAAAAGGGCAGAACAACGTCTGCCTGGCAAGCTAGTTATTGTATATATAATATTTGTAAATTGCATAATTGTTAATAAAAATATTATTGTCTTTGCAACGACCCTTACGAGATTTAAGAGATAAGACTGAGTTACGAGCACAGACAAAGAAAATATAATTCAAAACCAACTTTAATTAAATTGTAAGTCTAGTACATTTTGTTTCATTGTTCAAATGGCAGTTTTAATGTAACAAACTATGAGAACCATATTTTTAAATAATTAAAACAAACATCATCTCGTAGTAAACATTAATAAATAGAAGAGATAAAAAATTGCTATTGTTATTAAATAAAATATGATCCTATGGACTTATAATAGTGGTTTGAAGTTTATAGCCTAATCTAATAAAGTGAATTACGTACCTGTCGTCATTTTCTTCGTGCACTGTATCCATGTCGATGACTGTCAAACTTGAACGACCGTCGGCCGCTTCGGATAGATGACTGCGTTTCCCCGGACTCATCTATAAATTGATGATATTATTTTGCGAATATCTACCTAGTAGAAATAACAGTATATATTTGGGCACGTTTCAATATAAATTATTTAAAATATACGCGCGTTTTATTTAAATTTGTTTCTTTCTGTTACCTTTTAAGATAAATCTTACGTTATCGAAAAAAATAATATTCCAATTCAATTATTATTTAACATAATTATCAAATCATAAACTCACTTGCACCGATATACCTTGCTGGTTGAAACTCCAGGCTCTAGTGATAGATTGATGACATTTTTTATTTTAAAGTCTTTATTGCGTCCCTTTAAAAAAAGGATACAAAGTACATTCAATCATTCATTCAAGTACGGTCCTGATTCACCTGCATTCATTGATTTACTGTACTTGTTACCAGGTTGTCACTCCATGTAGGAAGGGGTCGCCCTACACTTCGTCTACTTAGTCTACCAGAACGAGGCTGACACTATAGAACCTTTTTCCCCATCGGTTGTCGGTTCTTCAAGCTATGTGACGGGTCCATTGCCCCTTCAGCTTACTAATCTGTTGGGCTATGTCGGTTACTCTGGTTCTATTGCGGATATTCTCATTTCAAGTCTGTCACGCAAAGATAGCTTACTCCATAGTTCGATAAGTAAGAACCTTGAGTTTCTCCATACGTCCAAGCAGGAATAATTACCGGCAACACGCGCTGGTTGTATAATCTTTTGTTATGCAGTTTTGAGGTATACTTGACGAGATGTGTCGTAATCTCCCGAACACTGCCCAGCCGATTTGGATTTAAAACTACGCAAAGATGAAAATTTAACTATGTATAAATAATTTGACGTCATTGCAATATGTTTTAAGCAATTTTTATAGAAATGTTTGTTTTGGTAATTTTAAAAAAGTATTTCAATGGTCTACGAGTAGAACAATTCTATAGTATATGCTAACCGGTGCATTTTTAGAAACGCCTTTAATAAAGGCCTATTTTTTAAATAAAAAAAAAAGTTTTTGTGGTTGACATGCAATTACGTAAAATATGTAATGTACATGATATTTTTATTTCAATATTTTATTGATTTTGCTTTCGAAACTTATTTGAGTTAGATTACCTAAATTACACAATATTGATTGCTGTTATGTAAAGACTGGATAATATTTTTATTGTAATGTATTCTTGATCTAAAGATCCTATATTTTCAAGGTGATTATTATTTCAAGTAAGAAACAAACGAATTTAATATTAAACTAAAACCCACCTACCTGTCTGTTAGGCGCTTGCTAGACTTTCTTCTGCAAATTTTTTTCATTGCCCTAATCTTACAAATGATACTGAAGCTCTCGGCGTACGTAATTGAATTGACACGGTACATCCAAATAGCTTCCAGCGAATGTTTTTTTATTAAGTTTGTCTCATTTTAAAATTTTAGATTTATATTTAAGTAACTAAAATAAAACGTAAGGCAAGTTTTCTCGTCAAACGCCAGATTGCACTGAACGGTAGTAAATGTTTTTGTTTACTATGTGTATATTCGAGGCACGATGTTCAGTATTTTTCGTTAGGTATACTTACTGTAATCATTTAATACTTGTTTGCTTATATCTAGGTGTATACTCTATTCAGGTGCTACACTACATCTGACGCAGCATGATAATGGGATGATTAAGATGATAATGGAGACGATTTATGACCAAGTGTATTATGGTATTTAATGGTTGTGTTAGGTGTGTTTATTGCCTGAGCAAAAATATTATGCCTTATTTTGTTCGAGATGAACGTAAGAAATTTATGACAAACGAAACCGGCTTATATTCTATGCGTAATATTAATATTAAAAAGTAACATTAAAGGATTGAATCTTAAAAGGTACGGGAAAACTTCTCGTGGGTTCTTTGCCGTGGTTAACGTTGAAAGTTACATATATAAATTATTGTTCTCGCTTTGTCCTTTATTTTGTCGGTTCAGATGTCAACCTCAGGACTTAGATAGTAAGAAACCAAAGATCAGCTCTTTAGTGTTTCTACTATCTCTGAGGCTGAGATAAATGGAGGAAAAGCGAATTTATTATAATTATTACGTTTCATCTGCTAATGTCTCTCTGTTTGGAGGACCACGTCTCGGTTCTGTAGGTCATCACTGGCAACACACACTTGTTGTACAACTTAGTTTTCAGGTTTTGAGCTATACCTGACGAGAAGATGTATCGTAATTTCCCGAACGCTGCCTAGCCGAGTTGAATCCGTCGATTGACCTCTCGGTCGAAGTTGGACTTACCTAGTAGGACTATTTGTCCCAGGTAAACGTACTCGTCAACAACTTCGAGCTTAGTGCTCCCAACAACCACCGGCATAGGTGTGGTCCTTCACTGCTGGCCGTATGAGGATGCCCAAAGTGGCTCAGAGAGCTATGGAGACGGCTATGCTCGGAGTTTCTCTGCGTGATAAACTTAGAAATGAGGATATCCGCAGTAGAACCAGAGTGACTGACATAGCCTAACGGATTAGTAAGCTGAAGTGGCAATGGGCCGACCATATAGCTCGAAGAACAGACAATCGTTGGGGAAAAAAGATTCTCAAGTGGCAGCCTCGTACCGGTAGGCGAAGTGTAGGGCGACCCCCCACTAGATGGTGTGACGACCTGGTAAGACATGCAGGAAGTCGATGGATGCAGGTGGCTCAGGACCATTCTTCGTGGCGTACCTTGGGGGAGGCCTACGTTCAGCAGTGGACTTGTGAAGGGCTGTAATGATGATGATGATGATGATATTGTTTGGAGTAAAGTTCTGGTGAACATAATACCTCTCGGAAGTTTGCTTGTTTAGTGGATTGATGAATTGGACTGGTTTCTGGTGATGTTAATGCTGTTAGGCTTTTGGCTTTTACAGCATCATAGGTCTCAGAGCCAGCAGTCTAAAAGGGTTTGATGAATTGATACTTTCTTATTTTGTATGTTTACGGAAGTGAGTATGTTTATATCTACTACATATCATTTTTATGAATAAGGAATATGTTGACTTGCAATGTACTGTTTTTTAACTTCCCATTGGGAAGTTATTTTAATGGGTCCGACTTTGCAAATTGGAAATTTTAACATATCTTCACGTTTCAAGGTCTTTAAAGTCGAATGGTATGTTTTTCAAAAGGTTGTCCATGTGTGCACATGTGCGTATGTATATATGTATGTATGTATGTTCGGATTCAATTTTCGCCTCGTGTATCTCGAGAATAAAGAGTGATATTGACATGGGATCAGTTTCATTTAACGCATAATTATGTTACTTTGACCTTATTAAATTTTGAGCAAAATCGGTCAAGTCGTTTTTTGTGCCGAATGGAAAGTTGTATAAAATATTAAAATATATGATATTTTTTTATTCTTTCCACTGGGAAGTTAGTCGTGTGGACCTTTCGGGTCGCACCTTGAGTGCTTTTTTATTAATTTCTGCCTTTATATGGTTAACTGTGAATAAAAAATGGCTTTTAGCAAGTATTATTTGGACCGGAGTATAAGTAGTAGTTAGAGAAATAAATTCTGGAGAGTATGGAAGATGTAGCATCGTATCTCAAGCTTTTCTGACTAACGATGAGTGAGGAACAGAATTACATACGGTTGCGAGTTTTCGTTTGAAATGTAAACCTGGAGTCGTCTTTGAATTTCTTTGAAGTTGGCAGTGGTTAGATAAAAGGTGTAATAATAACGGCCAGTGATGCCTTCATTCTTCAAAAGGATATTATTTGTTAACCCTCATTTGACCAGAGACCTAATTTTTAACTCCTCAATTTAACTGTCGTCTATCATTGATGACACTGCACTGCAATGCGTGCGCTTATGTAATTTTCTCCGTATTATTTTGAATATTTCCGCAATATTGTTACGAGCGTGGTAAAAAGGGTGACAAATGGGTGTATTTATTCAACACATACTAACATAGCAAATGTATACTGCACAATTACGTTATACTAAATTGCTAAGACTCCCCGCTAAGGACGCAGATGGTGTCATCATCACCTTTACAGGTCGTAAAGTTGATGATCATGACACCATCAGAAGTTACTTCTGTAACAGCTTCGTCGCTGCGGGAAGTGCAGCTCCTTCGCCCTTGCGTAGCAAATCGTAGTCACCCATGCTCACCTCCGCAGCTTCGGCTTATTATCGGCGACGAGCCTCAGCCGCTATGGCTCGCACGGATACCTGTAATTTGCTACGGTGAGCGTGGGCTGCTCTCCCTCCGCGCCTACGGATTTACAAAAACACTCTAGGGGTAGGGCAGACAAGACTACGTGGAGTCGGGGCGTGCTGATTCAGATTTAGAATCTGTCGAAATGATTCGACCAATCATCTAATTAGCCGTGTTTTCGCGATCACCATAGATTTTTTCCGAAAATTCGGTTTATCTTATTATTACTCTACGACATGTATGAAGTACACATATAATTGATATTTAATTATGACAATGAATGCCGTAAAAAAAGTATGTGTGAAATTGACAATTAATTGTATTTCTTGTTGAAGGTAAATAAGTTGAAGATACATAAGCTTTAAGTGCCTTTATAAGAAAAAAACAAAATAATTTTGTCTATCACTCTCTCAAATGTATACAATTGCAGAAACTGTCGGTTCTAGCCTTGTATATATAATCTCTTAACTAATTTACTGAATCAGTGTTAGAAAGTATACGCGACTAGTACGCAGAAATCGTGTAGATTTTCTGAAAATTCTATTTGCTACACATTAAGAAAACATACAGTGTATAATAAAATAACAATGTGAATGCGTGTTGTCCTTGTATACTTTCAATATACGCCTCGATAGTGGCTTAACGATGATGAGTGTACCTGCTTGTAGAACCTCTCAATATCATTCGAAATCTCATGTGTCTCGTAAATGAGGTTGCCTCAGTCACTCTACAAGTTCGATAGTTGACTTTTTTTGGGCAGACAGATCTCTGGCA